GGTACAGTGAGTCATCAGAGGTCAGAGGTCACAGTGAGTCACTAAAAGAGGAAGAAGAAGTGAGGCGGCTCTCACCCTGAAGAAGGAGTTCCCGTGGTTGGCCAGCAGAGCATCAGACTTTGGTTTGTTCTTACTGTACAGAGCGTAGAGACAGAACTGATCCTTCTGTTAGACACAACAACAACAACAACAACAGCTGAGTCAACAAACACCTGTTCATCATATTATCGATCATCTACGGGACGTTCTATCAGCTCTGAAGTGTGTGTTCAGTGTGCGTGCGTTCAGTGTGTGTGTTCAGTGTGTGTTCAGTGTGCGTGCGTTCAGTGTGTGTGTTCAGTGTGTGTTCAGTGTGCGTGCGTTCAGTGTGTGTGTGTGTGTGTTCAGTGTGTGTGTGTCTTCAGTGTGCGTGCGTTCAGTGTGTGTGTGTTCAGTGTGTGTGTGTGTTCAGTGTGTGTTCAGTGTGTGTTCAGTGTGTGTGTGTTCAGTGTGTTCAGTGTGTGTTCAGTGTGTCCAGTGGGGGACCCTCAGTGTGTGGTTGTGGTTCCTACATGTCTGATGAAGCAGTGGGGGACCCTCAGTGGGTGTCTCCAGCAGGCCTCCAGCTCCCTCAAGAAGAACTGACTGTGGAAGTCGAGGAGCTTTTCCAGGTTCCCGAAGACCACGGAGCGTTTCCCCCTGAGGTCCTGAGGGAGGTCGGCCCGGTCCATCTCAGGGAAGTAGTGATGGATGATGTAACGCAGAGAGCGCACGTACTCCCTCTCCGTGGTCACCATCTCCTCCACCACGTGACGCAGCTTACTGCAGAGACACACCACATCCATCCCATAATACACATTTAATAACTGATGCTCTTCTGTGTAAAATCTGTGAAGTATGTTTGACTCCATCTGACCAGTGGTGGGCCGTCAGGGCCTTCAAGGCCTTCTCTGCTGGCCTAAACAGAATCACAAAGTTATATCTATTTTATAATTTCATAATTTTTCTTAAATACACTACATGTATTATAATTTATAATAATATTTTCCCATTATCTTATGTTCTCATTGCACAGCTCCTGTCTTCCTCAGTTGCTCTGCTTCCAGTGCAGCTTGTTTTAAGTAGAGCTTTTATCCAATCAGATCTCACCTCTGTGTCTCTAGGTAAGAACAGAGGCAGAGGCCTGCAGACTCACAAGTGCATCCATGTGCAGTTTAAGTGAATGGGGACGATATTGTTGATTGTCATAGTGTTCAACCAATCAGATCTTTAGTTTGACATGTTGGGCGTATTCTTTGACGTGTCAGTGGGCTAGCCTGACATGTTGGGCGGTGACAATCCCAATATCTGCTGCCTCTGTGGAGCGGACATTTTCAGCCCTCAAACGCATTAAAACCTATTCAAGAAATACAACTGGGGAGGCTCGACTGTCTTCACTGGCGTCCATGAATCCAGAAGGACTTCTTACTGGAACTAAAACACACGGATGTACTGAACAACCGTGAGATTAAACTCTTTGTTAACAAAGAAAGGAGGACTTTGTCTTTAAATAGTGAACAGCAGCGCTGGTGAGTTAAATGCATTTGTTTTTACATCTGCAGTAGCTTTAAGATGCTTGTTTATAGATTATTATTAGTACAACTTGTTTTTATGAAGATGGATTTTTGTTTGGTTTTATATGTGATAGGAACCATTGTTACGTCCAGTGTTGCTCTGGGGACATATTTAGCAGGTGCCAGTGTTGCCAACTTGGCGAATTTCTCGCTAAATCTGGCGACTTTCTAAACCCTCATGAAGACTTTTCTTTGTCAAAAGCTACGAGTGACAAATCTAGAGACTTGTTCTGGTGTTGTTGGAGACTCCTCTGGTGTTTGGACGTTAAAGCGCGTTCTGCCCTGTGGTGAACGTGGTGAACGAGCCGCGGTGCTGCCGTGAGCCGCTCCGCCGCTGCCCACAGAAGCCTCGCGCAGCAGTCAGAGCAGAGAGGAGACGCAGTCTATCTACAGGTGTTGAGCTTCATTTTTACACGAAACAAATAATAACCGTCGCTGTGTTTCAGCTGCAGGACAGCAGGTATGACATGCACGGCCCGCCACTGCATCTGAGAGATAAATGTTGTGAAACACAGTAAATAAAAACTAATACTGAGATAAAGTACCTCAAACGTGTATTTACGTGTAGTTCTGGAGTAAATTTACTTCAAAGCTTGAAAGGAATCCCCCCCCCCCCGCTGATTACCCACCTCCCTCTGGGCCTGTTCTCTGTTGCCCGGCTGACAGTGGTCCTGGTGGTCCCGGGGCTGCGTAGACCCTGTCCTGCCCAGCCGTGAGCAGCCGTCCTGGGGCAGAGTGTGCGGTCGGCGGCCTCGGAGCTGCTGACCTCCAGGCCGCGGATGAACACGCCCGTGTTTCCTCTGCCGACCGGCTCGCTGAGGGCGCGAGGACACGAACCGCCAAACCGAGACACCTCGGGGGTGGAGGGGGGGCAGTCGAAGCTCTGGGTCTTCCTGAGTTGCTGCCGTCTGCCGGAGGAGAAGAAGGAGGAGGAGAGGCTGGGACTGGAGGAGCAGATATCCACCTGGTCTGCTGACTCCTGTGAGGAGACGCCATGGAACAGACGCTGGAGGAGCGGGGTGTGCTGGGGGGTGACAGGGGAGGAGGTGAGGAGGGGGGAGGAGGTGGAGGAGGGGAGCAAGGAGGAGCTGTTACGAGGAGGTGAGGAGATGTTGTCGTCGTCCTCATCAGGGGGGCAGGTGGAGGAGGACAAGGAGGTGGTCTCGTGGAGCCCCCAGAGTCCCGACAGCGTTCTCCTGGAGGAGGCGGAGCATCTGCTGAGGGCGGAGTCCCGCGTCCTGAGCGCCGCCTCCATCTTCCTGTCAAACATCTTCTTGGTCTCCTGACACTTGAACCAGGCGAAGCTCCACTGACGGAGGCCTCGCTCGCCTCGCAGCTCGCCAGCCGCCGCCTTCATCTCCTGGAAACGGTCGTCTGGGATCAGCGGGTGCTGGCAGCGGTACTCCTCCAGGCAGCCAATCACAGACTGGCATTTGTCCGGCAGCGTGCAGTCCTCCATACTGACACCAGCTAGGTGACGCATACCCTCCAACGCCCAGCCATAGGCCTGAGAGAGGGGGGGGAGGGGAGAGAGAGGTCAGGGGAGATCGCCGTGACATCACTGTGACATCACCATGACGTCACCCTTTAATTATGTAATAATTCCTGACGGTCACTGAGGACAGATGGAATCATGATTATAAATGTTAAATGTAACAATAAATGAAAGTGAAATGAGCCACAGCACTGTTTCCATAGAGACTAAACATGAAGCAGCGTCTTTAACATCGCTCTACCGTTGGACTACGAAGGATTTTCTATTTAAAGACTCTCAAACTTGTTGACACTAAAAAGTGTTTTCATCTTATTATAATAATTTCATTTTTATGTATTTTATCATTTCAATTCAAATCATTGTTTCTCATCATCATTATGTTAAATATGTTTGTTTGATAAAGGTTGAAAAAAAAAAGCTTTGAAGTGTGAGAGTGTGTTAGAGTGTGTGTGCGTGTGTGTGTGTGTGCGCGAGAGTGTGTGTTAGAGTGTGTGTGCGTGTGTGTGTGTGTGTG